TCTTCACTTAGGGCATAGAGTAAACATTAATTTAAATGACCTGCCTACTCCTCAAAAAGAAAATGAAAGTTTAACTCAAGCCAATTAAGCGTTTATATGTTAAAGATTCAGCTTCTAAGTATTTACATTACAATGGTCTTCCAAAGGTAGAGACAGCCCTGTGATGACAGCAAAGCACTGCTGGCACCCCACAGTGGGCAGCAATTCACTCACCACAGTGGCCTGCACCCAACAGAAATCATGGTTTTGCCCAAGACCACTTAATTTCTCATTCAAGTCTCCTTCTTATCCCTATACAGCAGCCTATAAGGATCCCAGATGGGGAAAAATATAACTCAAAGTAACAGGACTTCAACCACTTCAGGACATTTTTAGGCTAATGCATATAGTCATTTATTGTTTAGTTTTTTCTATCCAGCTTTTGATCTAATACTGAAAAAATGTTCTCCTATAAAAAAGTACCACATTTATTTCTATGCTACAATATTAAATTAGATATCCTCACTATGCCAGAGAGAAAACTATAACATTTATCTCAATACAATAAATTCTGTAAAAACAAATAAGAGATACAGCACAAGGTAAGAAAGCACATTTAAGATGACAGCTTATGCACAAGTCAGCTGCTCTTTACACAGCCAGGGATGTGACTGTCTCAGCTCTCTGCACTAGTAAAGAGCAGAACGTTAAGATTAGATTTATGACTGCTAACACAGAGTCCTGACTGTACCAATGACACTAAGGTTGAATGTTCCTTCTTTGAAATGGGAAGCACAGGCTACAAGCTGACTGGGGAACAGACTCAGAGGTTTCCTTTCAAACCGTTATATCATCACACGAAAAGACAGCGTTTAAATGAAATCAGGGCTATACTGAACACGAGAGTGTAAGAGAAAGCTCACAACCATTGCAATACAATGAAAACTGAAGATGTGATGTGCATATGGCAGCTAAATGCCTGCATTTATGCTTTTGAAACCCCTTCTGAAGGCAATTGGGATTTTTTCTTTGATAAATGAAAAAAATCTCAATATGAAAGGGTATCTGGCTACTTTCTGAATAAAATGAAAAATACTAGAAATTCTGATATGCTTTACGTTTAAGAGTCTGAAATACCTACCAGGTATTTTGTTTTGTTTTTTTTTAACACATAGTTAAAATCTTACAGATAAGACAGAGGTTGGATCTCTTTAATTTGAATCTGCAGTAATAGTTACTTCAGAGGATTGTAAAACAGAAATATATTTTCTATGCTGATATATAATTAATATCTATTAAAAGGTTAATCAACCAATATTACAATAGTAATATTATTACAGCCATAATGGTCTAAGGCAAAACTGGCGGATTACCTCAGTCACATCAACATGAAAAAGTCAGAGACGTGTGAAAGCAAGTCCTTTCCTGAGACCGCTTCAATTAACCTAATAGAGCTCTTCTCCTGCTGTACACTTACACTAGTAAAGCATTTTCAGATATCTGCTCTACATGCACCTAAATAAGAAGTGTTCCATGCTCTTCTGTAGGTTATTGAAGGCTTTGAACTGACAATCAACTGGAGAAAATTTTTCTTAAGTGACTTCTATATAAATGACCTATGCTATCTATTCTATACAATTTTGTTAAAATACATACATTTCAACACTTGGCTGAGAAGACAGCAGTTTACATCCATTTCAATATTTAAGTGAATAACAGCATTGTACATTAAGAGATCACTGAACAGAAAAAAAACCCCAGCAACCACTAAACCCATTTGAAACTGAAAATTACCAAAAAAAAAAACCACACCAGGAAGCTGCAAAGTTTTCTCTTTGCATAAAGTTTAACATCAACATTAAAATAAACCAAACTGAAACAAACAAAAAAAAAAACCAACCAAAAAACCCCCAAACCAACAAAAGACTCAAGGCAAGAAGAGCTCAGACTGTGAACAATACAGTGTGATGATATAACCCCAGTGACTTAATTCTAAACTTAACTAAATGTAATGAAGTTTTAAACTGCTTCCATGAAATATCAGAAGCATCATAAATCAAGTGTGGCTACTACTTCCATCTTACACAGTAGACTGTAGTCTGTAGCTTTTAGGGGAACAAAAGCAGGAAAAAATCCAAAACCAAATCCCAGCCTTAGATTAGAAACTGCCAGATGAAAAACAATTGAATACCAACTAAAAACAATCTCTTGCAGCCACTCAAACATTATCTCGAAAAGAAAGAAAAAACAGAAAAATTAAACCACCTCGTACATGGTGGCTTCCAAAGATGCTTCTGCAGAGACCTTTGTTACATGCTGCTGTCTGCTCAAATATCCAATTGCTCAACTGCACAGGAGGCAATGAAAATAGAGAAATGCCTTCCTGATGTTACTTTGCACAAAAGTAAGTGTTGCAACTGGCATCTAATGCTGCCAGAGATGTCAAGTGATCACAAAGAACAAGAGTCATGACCCAGGATAGATGGCAAGATGGTAACACAGCATTATCCAGCACTTTAAAGCTGTTAAAAGCCTCGTGCTCTACGACAGGGTGCTATATTTAACAGACTATCATGAGGCACCCGATTATCAGAAGACAAATAGGACTATTTATTAACAACAATTTGAAGCATCACAAAGGAGGAGCTTGGATTTCGCTGTTTCTTTAGTTAAGGCTGCAAAAGCTAAAGCCACATAGGTGAGATTTGTGGCACAATAAATTCTCACTTTACTCAATTGTAACTCTCCAGCAGTTTCTCTAGTTTGAAGAAATGGCCTAGCTTTCTTTCCCAGGATGCCACTGACAACAAAATCATGACAGTGCAACATACAAGACATGGTATTACACTTCACTGGGCCGTCCCAGGTGTAAAGAGACTTTTCCCTAAACCACTGCATCCTGTCACTGGTAGTTATTTATTGCTGCATCTTCCCATCGTGCAAGATGCTCTGAGGAGAACAAAGCATAACATACAGATGTTATCAAAACATGACTAAACAAACTCATTTACATTAAGGCTTCACATCATTTTGCATCCCAAGACCTAGCTTCTTCAGCTGCTCTTAACTTCACCAAGCTTAATGCAATACTCTTATGCTGCATGCCTGCCTCAAGCAGAATAAGGTATCATTTTAACCTGAGACAGTTGAGAGAGAGAGAGAGAGAGAGAGAGAGAGAGAGCGAGCAAGAGCAGGAAAAAAACAGTTTTGTGCCTAGTGCTTTTTGAAAAAGTGAAGACTCCTTTTTCGGAAACACTCCAGTTGCCTTCATATTTTGAAGACAAGCTATTTTATTTTTAAAATATGTTTTGCTACTTCGGAATAAGTCCTTATAACATACGAATCCACCTAATTATGCCCACATTGTGTGGGTTTGGAAGAAAAAAAAGTCGCTAATAGCTAATGAGGAGACTGCATATATGAAAAGATGATTTTTTTTTTTAATAGACCATCTTCCATCACCTGAGATCAGACTAGACTGGACGAATCATTCCCATAAAGAAACTGAACATCCTCTAAGTAATCTAAACCACACATTTTAACCAGCAAACTTGCTGCTAGCATGCAAACAACACGGAGATGGAAAGCATACAATGAATGAAAGGTTCCAGCCAAGGGGGAGAAGGTTCAAGACAGACAAAAGAATTGTATAAAGAATAAGGGAGGAAAGAGCCAAAGAACAACTGAGCAAAGAAATTCAGAGCTTGGCTCATCTCAGCAGCCTTAGTATCTCCCAAAGCTGAGTAAAGCCTGGATCTTGGGAGTCTGTTCCAAGTGTCTGTATTCCTCTCACATAGATGAACTCACTGGCAAAACATCCACCTCCTCCAGTGCTACTCCAGTTCTTAATGCCAGTATCATTATTACATTGGTTTAAAATGCGAAGGTCTACACAAATATGTTCCAGTCCAACAGATCACCCACATAAGGAGCAATAAGAACTGATACCATGCTGTTCTGTTTGCACTAGTTTTATTTTTAACTACATATGGAGCATTAAGGTTGCAAACATACAAAAATTAAGAAAAGCTACAATTAAGACTGCTTTGTGCATTTGTGTAAACATGGTCTGTACTTAACATCTCACATTTTACACTCTTGAGATGGGCATTCTCTAGAAATGAACTGGGAAGAACAAGAGAAGGATTGTTATACCCTTAATTTCCTACTGGCTTGGAGACTTAAAGAAACTGAGATACAAATGAGAGTGCAAAAAGGCAAAACAAAACCAGGAAATAAGGCCACCAAAAGCTACTCTTGCCACTGACACTGAGCTCCTATATGTAGAGTAGACCAGCCCTTTCCTCTACCTTTACAGCTATTTTTTGTATGTTTCTTATTTTACAGTTATCTATTTAGATAATCTGCAATCCAATTTGTGTATATACTCAGCATACCCGGCGGCAATTAGGACATCTGCTTTAAATACGTGAATTGCTTTACACTATAAAATGCAAATGGAGACAGGACTGCATTTTAATAACATTCCTGCCAGGTGAAGGAAATCCATTACTAATGGAATACTTAGATGTTATGGCAATAACTGGCAAAGGCAGACTCTGGAGCAATTTAATAAATCTGCTCTTAGGGAAGGCTTTTGCTAGTAAAGTTTAAATGAAACTGGAACTGATCAGAACACAGAAAGCATAAGGCTAAATACTAGAAAACAGTGAATTAAATGAATACAGTACATCTTAATGAGCTACAAAGAATTATGTGAATGTATGCATTCACATAGTTAAAATATACTGCTACAGTAACTGCTTAAACTGAGCCATGAACACTGTGCAATTCATACCTCAGACCAAAAAAAGGCCAACCTGAACAGCAAATCACAAGATGGGGTTGTAAATAGCCTGTGAAGTGCAGTTAAATCCTTACAGCAGCTAGTCAAGTCTATGTAACTTCTAAGAAAAAAAATGTGCTAAAAAGATGTTACTGATACATTTTTAAGTACTCGTCTTCCAAACAAAAGAGGATGAAAACACATAAACAACCCTCCCACTCCCCCCAATATTTACCTTACTGCAGTAAAGCATCCAAAGCTCATACAGCCTCTCTCGGGATGCCATTCCTTCCCTTCCTCTTTCCGTCGATACCAGCTACTTTAGTTCAAGATCCTACCATGCTCAGTTACCAGGTGCTCTTTCCACAGTTTTGCTTTATTATTACAGTTATATCATAACCCGAGAAGAAGTCAAGGGTGAAAACAACGGGGTCTCAGTCTCTCCTTTTCGAGTAGATAACGAAGCACAACACAGGCAACTGCAGATAAATGTCAAGCATGTCCGTTCTTCGCCAGCGCCACTTCGGTTTTAGTCTCTGAAAGTGAAAACATACCCTTCAGGCCTTTGGTGAAGGGAGGAAAAAACAAATCCGCACTCTAAGCCCGCAGACAGCGGCGGGAATGGGGCGGCGGCAGGTCACAGCGCTTTCCTCTCCGGCACTACCACCCCAGGACAGAGAGCTCCGGCTTTCGCTGTTCCTGGCGCTTCCTCGTCTTTGCGGAGAAGCAGCGGGGGGAACCGCAGGGCTGCCGAGCGGGGCCGCGGGCAGAGGCAGCGGGTACGGCCGCTCCCGGCCCCGGCCCGGCAGTGACAGCGCCGCCGCCGCCCTTCTGCCGCCGCCCCCGGGCTCCGCGGCCGCCCCGCACCCCGGCGGGCCCCGCAGAGCAGCGGCTGCCCCGGCACAGCCGCCGGCCGCGGCCCTTCCCGGCCCCCGCGCTGCCTTGTCGCCCACTCCCGGCCGGGACCGACCGCCCCGCGCCGCCACCTACCGCGCCCCCGGCCTCCCGCAGCTTCCCCCGCGGTACCGCGGCCTCTCCCGCAGCCTCCCCGGGCCGCGGCGGGTGGCGGCCGGGCAGGAGGGGCCGAGCCTCGCCACATCGCCCGCCCCGCCCCGCCCGCGCTCCCGAACACGCCCCGGGCCGCCGCCGAGGGGCGGGGAGGCCGCGAGCGCCATCTTGGCTGCGGGCGGGGCAGCGCCCGGCCGGGGCGGGGAGCGGAGCCTGACGGCCCAGACCCGGCTTCAGCCGCGGCCCGCGGCGCCTCGCCCGGGGAGCGGGCGGTCCCTGCCAGGCGGCGCGCCTCTCTGCCACACCGCTAGTGTGCCCGCAAAAGAATCGGCATTCGCAGTCCTTGCGGGACAGAGCACCTTAGGAAAGGCTCCGTACTGCTTTGCTTCACAAGGGGGGACTTCATTAATGTGTATAAATATCTTAAGGGGCGGGGCCAAGAGGACGGAGCCAGGCTCTGCTCGGTGGTGCCAAGCGCAGGAGGCAATAGGCACAAACTGATGCACAGGAAGTTCCACCTGAGGAAGAACTTCTTTACTGTGCGGGTGACCGAGCACTGGAACAGATTGCCCAGAGGCGCTGTGGGGTCTCCCTCGCTGGAGATAATCAAGAACCGCCTGAATGCAATCCTGTGCCATGGACAACCCTGCTTGTGCAGGGAAGTGGGACCAGATCCCCCACTGCGATCCCTTCCAACCCGACCCATTCTGTGATTCTAATGAAGGTTACCAGCCCATACAGGTGTTTTACACGTGCTCCAGAGCAGCCCACCAGCATAGCCTGCAGGGCGTGGATATATCCATGCATCCAATCTGCTACTGCTGTAAAGCAGCCCCCTACCTCGTATGCAGAGCTTGTACAGGACTAAGGAAAGATTTTTAAAATAAGTTAGATTTCCAGAGGAGAAATGTGAAAAGACATTCATCAGCTTACCATCAGCTTATTCATCAAGTGTGGCCCTGCCCAAGCACACTGGCACACACTAACCCTGCCAGGGTACCGCACTCCAGAGAAGGACTCTCCTCCTGCTCATTCAATAACAAGATCATTTTACTGTGACATGCAGAGGAGTGGGCTTCCCTCCATGTCCATCTGTGCCCTTAGAAAGCGAGGCTGGAAATTACTGTTGTGTCAGATTCCAAAGCAGGGAGGAGGAGATTTAATGAGACCTGGGCCATCTCCCTGGTTTGCTGGGAGAATCACAGTCCTACAACCTCTGGCCACAGCCCTTGGTCTTTCTGTCACTGGGTCGTCTCCTCACCTGGGTGAGTCTTGTACAGTTCCATGTGATAAAGCATTCATTGCCATTCATTGCACAGTTGATTACTTTGCAGGGCACTTTTACAGCATTGCAATGATTTCATGCAAGGTTTGGAAATCCTTTGCAAAGAACTTGTCTGTGCAACATGCTTATATTGTCTGCTGCAAAAATTTTCTAGGGATGGATAAATATCACCGATAACCCAAAGACAGTCTGAGATATGGTCCTGCAATAGGCCTTTGCATATTTGTCTTGTTTTTAAAAAATCAATGAAGTTTCTCTGGAAAAATTTAAGAGCTAATTTGTGCCCAATGTTATATCACATGGATCAGCAGTGTGGGAGTGGGAGAAGTATCTTTTACTGCAATATCTAAACATAGTTCCTAGCACAGTTGGAGGGACACTGACAAAAATGAGACGGTAAAATTATTTTTAGTCGTGTGATACATGTGCTCTGGTACTTGCTGCTAGCCACAATATTCTCCTGCCTTAAGGCTGTAACATAATTTTTTCCATCAAGAAAAAAATAAGAGTTCAGAGTCTAGCTCTGTCCCTAGGGCAGGATCTGCTATGCTTAAACCACCCTAGACTCCTCTGGTGAACAGCATCCAGGAAAAAGAGAGCACCTGCCTCCTCCCTGACTATCTTATCTCAGGGCTTGAGTTACTGCTGGGAGTTCCTCCCTAAGAGCCAACCTGCATCACCTTGGAAGCAAATGCAAACTGTTATTATTTGCCCCTTCCACAGTAATGTGGCAAAAAGAAGCTTTTTGTAGCACGTCTTTTATCAAATCTTTTTACAGCCTTTTCTAGACTAAATAACAGCCTATTTCAAATTTCTCTTACAACTTGCTCCCTTTGAAGAAGTCAGGCCCAAGCAAACCCACGTACAAACACCGATCCTCCCTTCAGATATTGCTCTGCTTTTTAACATTGCTGATTCTTGCAAGTGACAGCAGCTGCTCCTACACACATAAGTCCTGCAACAGGCTTCAATGAAGCAACACAAAACCGTCCATTGATAGAAATGGGAGACTCCTCCCTTGTGAAATGCTGCTGCCCCCGTAATTAGGGTGCTCCCGGGCTATAAAGCAACCATTTTTCCCTCTGCTGGAGTTGTAGTGAAGCAGTTATTTTAGTGAGCCTAGGCAATCACTGCTGCCTGTGTTATTGCCTTATATAGGTGCTCTAGATGAAAAGTAAAGCATTTGTGTTTTGCAGCAGGACAGTCTGTTCCACAGGTGTCATACAGAGTGGGTGGTCTCCTGGTCTGACTTTATAGAGGTTTTCCCAAGCCAGATAGTTCACTGTAAGGTTGTTAAGGTGGCTTTGGACATCTGCATCGCTGGGTGTAGGTCAAGTTTAGACTCTCCCTGTCTGTACAAACAGACATTCAGTATTCACTGAGTTCTTTTCTCACACAGAAATATGAGCAATAATGAGAGATGTCAGTGGAAAAAGATGGGTTACAGCTTTGTCTCTGCAGGTGTAGTGTAATTGTAGGTGAGTTTTTATATCTGTATACTTACCTTCATAGAGACTTGGCTAAGGATATGGAAATCAAAGAATGGAGGAAGATGTAAAGAGAAGCATTGCCAGCTAGGTATGGGTACTTTAAAATGTGACCGTATATGGATAAGTTCGGCTGGGAAAGTTAATTGCTAGACTTTTTATCAACTTCTCTTCCATAATTATGTATTAATTGTTTCATGGGCTTTAAACTGTCAGGTAGACAGTGTTCATTTGTATTTCCTTGTTCCTTAGCTGCTGTCTTGTGGTCTGTTTACAACAGTGGTTATTTCTCATCCTTTGTTTATTATTAGTGGGTTTTTAATTTCTCTGGTCAGTAGCTGTGTATTAGTAACTCAGTCATCTTACTAGGGACTGAACTTGCCAGTCAGCAAGTTCTGGTAACAGAATGGGTGTAAAGAAGGGTGTGAATAAGGAGAAAGCATGAATTTTGGGTTAAGGAAAGGTTTAACAAAGGAATGGACTGCATTGGATTGCAACTTTGAGTCCGGGAACCTCTGAAGTGGCAGGAAAAACCACATACCTTTTAGTACTGCTTTTATTAAACTATACCTATTTTCTGTAGAAGCAAACAAAAAAGACAAAAAAAAAATCTGTATTTGACTTTTAAATATTCTCAAACCTTTTGTTTGGCCCTAAGGCTTCTACTGAGACCATGCCCCAGACCAACATAAATGATCCTGAGATAAGGCGAAGCTTTCAGCTGAGGTTTTTCTTGATGTCTTAGAGCTAATGCTTTGTCTACCAACAGTGAAGACCCAAAATAGAAATGGACTTGGAAATTAGCTTAGAAATGAACCTACCCCTCAATTCTTCCATCTTTCTTTACAAACAGACCCCTGCACAGAAACAAGGATTAATCTTTACAGTCTAAGTAAACAAATGGTCTTGTGGCTGTGTGTAAAGCTTCCACTATCAAAATACCTTGTGCTGTATGTAAGGAATTAGAGTTTTGTGGGTGCTAGTTTCTGGACATTCAAGCCAAATTAACTTGAGACTGGATTTGGTGTGGCTATTGGAAAGGGGCAAGATGGCCCTTGCAAGATGCCAGGGTCTCTGTGATGGTGTTTTGCTGAGGGTAGCACAGAATCAGCTGCCTTGAGTTTCTCTGGCCATGATTGCCAGATGAGTGTGCAATTCTGTTAGCTAAATCAGCAAACTCAGTATTTAATTTTCCTTCTGTCACTATATTCATATTGTACCTCAGGTAGTTCAGGGCTTGTTAATTGTTTGTAAAATTTGAAAATGGAAAGGAATTTGTTTGCCCCTTGACATATAAACTGATATCTAGGGATTGTAGTTGTTTCTTTCAAAAGTGTTGGAGACTGGCCACAGCTAAAGCTGGGAGGTTATGGTTTGGCTAATAGCATTAAGTCCCTCTGGCCCCTGGCTGCCCTGCTTTCATATATGTAGGGTTAAACCATTCTCTGGACTTAAATTCATGGAGGAATTAACCCCAGGGTAGCCTGGGACTGTGGTGAGTGCTTTTGTTCTTCTCTGTCCTTTCAGCTTGTTTCCACAGGGGGCCTTCAATATAATGACTCCTGTTGTAAAAGGCCCAGGCAGTGACTTGATCTCTTCTGCTCCCTTTTTTGTAGCATGGGCTCCTTTATCACAAGCCTTAAGTTTGCAGCTATGCTGGGAATGTTCTTGTGTAGGGTACCTCTTAAAGACTCTTTCGTGCTAAATATATAGAATGTGTTTATATGCTTTGATCTGCCTAGATTCTTAAAAGCTCTAATAGCCAGCAAAAATTCATGGGTAGGAGTTCAGTCTTGGAACTGCCCCCTCCTCTGCTGTCATTTAGGTTAGCTATGCAAGAGCTAGAATGTGTAGACTTATGCTATAGCTGTCTTTCATTTGAAGATGCCTGAAGACACCAGTTTTTGCTGCTTAAGATTGCATCATAAAAGTGTTCTCCTTCCTTCTGAAGGAGAACTTCCTTCTGAAAAAAAAGTAATCCATCCTTTACAGTTTTACTGCCAGTGATCAGTGAAATTACCATACTTGTACTTCAAATCGTTCTGCGTTAGTTAAGAAGTTGTTTAATGAATTATTTCATTATGTTGCAGTGCTCAGCAATCTGGATCTGCAGCATGATTCCTGAAAGCAATCCCTGTGTCAGGAAAAAAAAAAACAAACCTACAAAACATCATGGCAGCAACCAAGGATGTGTAGGGGTTAGCATTCTCTGGTGATCTGTCTGAACTTAATTTCTTCTCAGCTGACAAGGTAAGGTTGTCCCAAGAATGCCTGCTGTAGCAACTTGGGGCCTAACTTCTCTTGGTTTGGGGAAGAATGCAAATGAAGGGAAGTAACTAAGGGGAAATGGTCTTAGGAAAGCTCCAACTGCTGCTAGAGGTGGAATTCTTGTAAAATACTAGCACCACAGCTTCCCAGGAGTTAGGTGTTGGCTGCAGCACACTGCCTGCTTCTGAGTGGGATGTGAAACCAAAGGTGTGCCCTTGTGAATACTCCAGGGACTTGGCTAGCCTAACTCCTGAGCACAGAAAGGGTACAGAAATCAATCTGAATGATGGCTAGTCTTGTAAAACTTGAAACGGAATTTTAAAGATTCTGCAGTGTTATGTAAACAGTGTGCTAGGGAGTATGTGAGGAACTTGTGGGGGCCCACTTGCACACTGAACTGGTTATAGAATCTTTAACATAATGGGTCTCTCTTTTGGTTCCTAACCCCAGACGCCCAGAGAAAGCTGCTACTTCTCTGTGCTGTGGAAGGTCAACATGAGTTCATGTCTACAAATGGTGTGAGGTCCTGGCTAAACAAAAGAGCATAGTGTAGGCCTTGAGCTGGAAATGGGAGTAATTCAGTCTTGTGCAGAAATCTGGACTTAATGCCAAATGGCACCAGGAACTACTGGGCACCAGGACTGTTTTTTTGTTTTGGTTTGCGTTTTTTTATCATGAAGTGAATAAGAAGCTGAAAGATTTATTTTGATATCTGTAGCATTAGAAATAGTCTTTGTCAGAAATAATTCTTATTAATAAACTTGGTAAATACTGTAAATGCTTCGCTCTGTCTTAAGTCATCTAGTGTCACAGCTGGAGACTTGGTATGCAGTATTTTCATGATGATACTGTTGCTGTGAACTTGCCAGTCTACTCACAGCAGAAACACTACTGTGAAGGCCATTGCTTTTATGGGCCATTTCAAAATGAAAGGTACATCCTGAAATCAATTCAAGCATGGAGTTAGTCCATGGACTCAGTTACAATTGGAGTTCTGGATTTTCATTATCATAAATGAAGAATGTATTTAATTTTTTCCTCTAAGGTCTGAAAGAATATTTTTTTACAAAGATGCTATTTTTAAACATATGCTTAGTAAAGTGCTGGTTAGAAAATATCCACTGCTGGTTCGAGGGATTCAACTTCGGCAGTCATGGCACCCCATTTGGTGAATCACCTGTATTTGCCAGGCCTCAGGATGTACTGCTGTCTTGAAAGTGTGGCTGTTCATATAAAACACAGCTTTCTTTAAGTATGTTATGAAACTGGATGTCCCTGGAGTGAAAGTCCTATTGGAGAGATGAGTAGTTATCTCTGAACTTCAACATCCTGCCTCTGAAGTCATTCCTCAGAGATATGTAGCTGCTGTGTTTCTGGGCATGCACAGGCAAATCCAAACGTGGATAACAGGAGATCAAGTGGCACATCTAGGTGACTGCAGCTTGCTAGATGTGATACAGATTCAACGTAAGAGTGAATAGCCACTAGTATGTGTGGAAAAGTCAGTTTAGCAGGAATAAATCCACCTGGGTCCTAATTTAAAGTAGTGGTGCTGTGAGTCCTTCCTGCTTGCTAGGGCAGGAAGCAGAAGAGGAGTCCAGCCAAGTTCACCTCACTTCAACTCTACATGCAGGTAAGAAATAAACTCAGTGATGTATCTGGATTGCCACAGCAGTTGTGTGCCCTCAGTCTTCCTAGATGTTGATGCAGTAACTGGAAAAGGTTCTGGCTGAGACAGGGGAGCTGTTTCTGATCATGTTTTTCTTGCACAGTGGTAAGTGGGCAGGGTTTTCTTTTTCTTTTCATTTACTAAGATGATAAACTGTTTCAAAACTGTCTCTGACTTATATCTAGCACAGCAAAGATTTGCTATAGAAAAATACTTTCTGCTTTTGCATCAATGCCAATAGAGTTTTTGCAGGTGCTCAAGTGCAGTTGGATAGGCACAAGAGTATTGCTGCTACTGTGTGATGTCCAACACCTTAGTTAAAAAAAACCCAAACCAAAACCAACAAACCACAATCAAACCCAACAACACTTCAGTATCTTCATTTTTGGCATCAAACTTTCTGGACACTCTTCTTAATCTAGAAAGCATGCAGAAATGTGTCCTAATTTTAGGCTTTTTTCTACACCTATATTAATTCTCAGTTTCTTTGCTCCTTCTCAGATACATCCCATCAGTCTCCCAAGTCAAATTCCCTTCAGTCCATCTTGTTCCCATCCTCCTTATGTGTGACTTCTTTCACTCTACAGCTTGTGAGGACACGAGAATGCATGAGCTTTCAGCATTTGGACACAGAACAAATCTTAGCTAAGTGAAGCCCTGAACTGCATGTCAGTGAAAAAATAGCTGCATTATCCTATGCAGATGGAATGTATCTGGAAACTTGCTGTGGTGGTCTATGTAGCTCCTACTGGACAGGGAAACTGAGTTGTACATAAAGCTTACAGTACTCAAGAACTTAATTTTTCATGAGCATTGGAGGAACATATTCCAGCATCAAAGCTATTCCTAGGCCAAATCTCAAATCCTTAGTCTTTTGTTTGAGTATTGAAATATTTCACATCTTGGCAACCTCTCCCCTCTGAGTAAAATCCTTCCAGAGAATGAGTCTAGAAAGGAAAAGCTCAGATCTATTCTGGGCTGAAGTATTCAGAAAAAAAAAATCTATTATGAGACAAATATGCCTTTGTTTTTGGCTCAAACACATGGTGGTGTCTCTACAATGGGATGTGTCAGGTTGCCCCTGCAGTAGTCTAGTCACCAACTTTGCCTGTAATGAAGTAAGAGCAGTGACTGGGGCATGAGAGATGTAGTTTGGTTTTCGTCTCAGTACTAAATGTCCTTTTATAGCCACAGTGGCTTTATAAGACTGGTGAAGTGCTTTTATATATAAATATGAAATAATACACATACTATTAAAATAAAAGTTAATACAATTAATGCACTATGAGTCTTGTATGGTGATTTCATGAAGCTACAAATCCTCAGGGACAAATCTTTAGCTATCTTGTTTTTACACAGCTCTAGTTGTGCTTCTGATGGGTGTTGTAAATGGTATCACTCCTGTCAGTCTCTCTCCTGGAGGTGCTTCCTCAGGAAATTTCCTCAGCCAGGAAACACTGAAAGCAGACTGAAGGAAGACTGTGAATTTGAGTCTAGCAGTTTCTTCTGAATACCTGTATGCTTTCTTTGGATCAAAATTAACTTCTTCCTGATGGTTAATGCTAAGCAAATTGAATTCACTTACAGGAGCAACTTGTATGTGCAGGCCTGTGCTTACATTTCTCAAAGATCTTTGATGGGCTCAGAAGTGTTACACTTTTTTTTGTTCTTCTGTGATTGTGCTTCCTTTGTTCTATCTTGATCATGCATGTGGAGCCAGCTTGTCTTTTGAATCCCACATGGTCCTTCATAGTTTAATACTGTGGACACTGGGCTGGTAATGAAATTTAGAACTTGAGAGACCAGAGTAGGGGCAGCGATATGTGAATTCCTTATTGTAGCTACGAAGGCAGAGCAGCCATCACGGGCCAGATGGGCAGTCCAGGCAGTCAAGAAACTTGGCAGCAACTGCAACCATGAGTTGGCACTGAGGGAAGGGTAGATATGAAGCAAATATATGTGATATTTCCTTCAAACTTCAAGTCCCCAGGCCTTTTTAGCTCAAGAGGTTTTCTGATCAGGAGGTTTCTTCTCTCTGGTTAATAACTCTCAGTGGATTTGTCTTCCAAGAAACCATCCAGCTTCTTCTTGAATCCTGTAGACTTTCACCTCCCAGGACCCTATGCCACAGATGAACTGTGCAATGCAGGAAGGGCTGTCGTTGATCTTAAACTCTGGAGCTAAAATATCTTTTTAGACAAATGGTGTTCATGGTCTGAGAAGTCTGGTTATTTACATCTGTTCCAACTGTTCTCAACCAGTATGCTGTTATGACAGCTGCTTTTACATGCAGATTGACTGCTTTTGCACCCCAGAAAAACTCGAGCACAGGAGTAGTCTGAAAATAGCAGTGTTTGTGTAGAGAAACATAGCCTGCATGCCAGCAACTGTAGTGCCTGCTACCAACAGTAAAGCAAGCTGCAGGAAGCTAGAAGACTTGTTAGTGAAAACTTGGATACTATCTGTGAATTCCCCATGTTTCTCTCCTCTAGCACCATTGTTCTTAATGTCTGCTTGAGATTCTCTGAGCATTTGCAAACAAAAGCAAGAATAGCCCCTCAGTGGTCCTCGAAAACTAGGAATTGCCATCATTTCTGTCTCAGGTGGAGACATTTTGAGAGGTTTAGCCACCCCCAAACCCTAGGATGCAGCAGAGTCTAGAATTCAGACATCCTACCTATAGCCTTGATCTCTGAATAGTTATTTTTGTTCATTCTTGCCTTTGACCACAGGAATGCCAGCATGTAATCTGCACATCATTGCATAGCCATAGTTCTCAACTGCACTAATTGGTATTTTGTTGCAGTATGTAGGCATGTGTTAATTGCTGTCTGGGGAACTGGTCTGTTCTTTCTTTCTTTTATTCCTGCTGAAGACAAATGAAATATTTTGGTTCCCTTTTGTAAGCAAACAAGTAGATACTGCACCTGAATTGCTGTGTTCTTTTGCAAACCTGGGTTAGCACACTAACCTGAGGATGCTAACACACATATTGCTTACACTCTGCAGTTCCTATAAATGCACAATATTAGGAATTTGTGAGCAAGAGGAAATATGCTTTTTCACACCTCTGTCCCGAGACCTGAGTTGTTCATGTTCCATTTCCCTCTGGCTAAAGCATGGTGTTCTTATGTACACCAAACCTCTGCAGCAGCTGGACAGCCCACTTCATGCAGTAAAGGACAGGCGAGAGGGTAGAGATAGTGTCCCACGTACAAAAGAAAGGATGAGAAGGTCAAAGAATAGTTCTATTTTCCTCTCCAGTGTTGTCAGGGAAAGGCTGGAGAGGATCACTAACTGGCTATAACTGATGGGTCATGTGAGCTTGAAATAATGGCTAAATGAGGTCTCTGACATTAGCAAGCAGAGATGTGAGTTTTAAGCAGTCTACCTCACTGCTGTAAAAGTTGCTTGGTTCTATTCAAGGACTCCATTATCAGAATGTTTACTTGGCAAAACAAAATCAAAGCCTACCATTTAAAGCCCAGATGAAATGATTTAAAGTGAACATATACTAGATAAGATTGCAGAAAGTCGAGTAGTTCTGTGCTCTCTGCACTGCTTTTTCTTTCCAAAAGTCTCCAGAACCTTGCTGAAGAACAATAGTATATTTGCCTAGAAGAGGTATGTTAAGATGTGAGATCCCTTACCTGTATTTTGTTATATTTTATTATGGCTCTTATTCATAACTGCACAGGGTGCCTGCTGGCACAGGATTTGGTGATGAATAGTAGGCATATACATAATCACTTGAATGATAATTAAATCTGCAATAGACGTTTTCAAGCACAAGATGTTGTCCTGTTTCTAATCCACACCGGTATGCTTATTTAATTCTTTTTGCCTGCAGAATAGCCTGGCAATTGAGGGATTTGGCTCAATCTCCTATTGCAACAGATCAGTGCAGCTCTGAAGTTAGTAGAAGCAGGGTGATTGACATCAGCTAAATATCTAGTTCATGAAGTCACAGGTTCACTAAAACATGCTATGTATAAAGGTGGTGTGATTTAAGGATCTAGAATAATTAACTTTTGAGGAATCATCTGGAATAAGACTAGAAAGCTTTGCTAGATTGGTGGTAGCATTGGTGGAGCAGCTTGTTTGCATGAAGAATTTGATGTCAAATACAATGTTCACCATGTTGTGAGTTCCTCTGCACACTTCTGTCCTTTTCTTCCTCAGTCAGTAATTTACTGGATATAACTATTAATGGGATTTATTTTCTGTTCCACAGTACATGATAATTTAAATAACTGTTAAAGGTCCAACTGCATTTTGTTATCTCTGGTAAGTATAAAGCTGGAATTTATTGCTAAATCAAAGTTTGTAAAACTAGAGAAAACTTAGATGAAAGAATCATACCTTTCCCAACACCTCCTCCAGGGTTAGCAATATACAGTTAGACCTTTAACAGTTATTTAACTTATCATGTACCATGGAACAGCTGGCTAACTGTGAATATTTTTTAAAAGTATCCCCCCTCTCCCCTTAAAATGTGAAAGAAATAGTATTTCCCTTGGGACTGTAAAACTTGAATTTGTTTGTAGTACTGAAGAAAGATTTGTTTGAACCAGAATTTTGGAATGCATTCACTATTTACTTAGTATGTGAGCAATAACTGAGTGCAAGTCAGCTGGCCTCTGCAAAGAGACAGTTTTTGGCATTTACTGCACTGCAATCAAGGGTACCTCTGTATTCCCTAGGTTTCAGTAAATACTGTCTGCCCTGAAGTTATGCATTTCATACAACACCCAAGAGCCACCTAAGACATTGAAGGAGGAGATCTCAAGGAGATGGACATAGCCTGGGACAAATATCAGTGAGCTGATTTAACATGTTCTGGTGTCACTGAATCATAAGATAGTGTGGACATAAGCAAGTTGCATACATCAGCCCACAGCAAAAGTTTACGTCAGCTGGCCCTGCTGGCCCTTCCCTAGGTGATGTGAAGATATTCTCTACCTAGGAATAGTGACACAACCTTTTTTTGCATCTTCAAGTTATGAAAAGACCCTGGAAATAGCACTGATTAAACAGATTATTTCCTTCGTGTCCAATGAAACTTTGCATTGCCTTACTGAACTTTTCCTGACTCTTGAGTTGCTTGAAGAGACTGTAACTGTATTCTTAAAGGATAAACTACACCCAGTTTCTTAAACTGTGATCCTCTGCCAAGCAGAACTCACTTGTAGCGTTACATGGCAAGACCCGATGGAGTTGCTGAGACTGAACCACTTCTGGAAGTCAGAATTGCCTCCCTTTTCAAAAAATACTGATGTCCTGAGTAACTGAGGCTCTTGTAAATTATCCAGCTGCCTTTTTTCACCTGGATGGAATTGCTTTCTTTCACAGAGGGCTGCAGGTCAAGGTGGTCACTGCTACATTCATAGCAGTGGCCCCAGAAGCTCTTCTCTTCATAAAGAAAATGATCTGCAATATAAACATTTGCAAAGACTTATCCTGGTGTCTGTGTCAGAGCAGGGTACTGACATACTGGGGTTTCCACTTATCTCTCCCATTTCTGATAGTTTGCTGAGATGAAAGTTGAGAGCTGTGTGCAGACACAGACATTGTGGTTGCTTTTGTACACCATAGTCCTAATGCAGTATCTGCAAAGAGTAATACAGAAGAGACTATTCTAACCTGTGGAGAGGTCTCATGTTTTGTCTTTTTTGTAGTTATGGCATTTATTACATTTACTATGGGACACTTATTTTTTCTGGGGTTTGGGCTGCATTTGCTGATGCTGTGTGCAAGTGAATTATCGTGTAACTATGGGGTAGACTACACTTTCAACTGCTATCAGCTGTTGCATGTGGTGCACCTGACCCAATGTGGGATAGGTACAAGCATATATATATAAGTGTGTAAGAATGGTTCTTTACAGAACCTCCTTTGCCTGAAAGCTATTGGACTCACCAGACCCGAGCAGTTTCTGGTGTGGGTCTGTTCCTATCCTTCTCCACCCCCTGTTGGTTACCCCTTGCCTAAGTTTGTCCCAATCTTTCCTTTTTTGAGAGCAGGTGAATTTTGCTTCAGTTTCAATACTTTGTCACATGCCTTATCCTGGAGACAGGAAAAGTTTCATTCTCATGTGGTGTTGTTACCCTTTGCCTACTAATCCCTTGTACTGTGTACAGATTTTAGCATAGGCGTGTTAGGAGGAAATAGCAATTAAAACTTTCATCCTCTTCCTGGTGTGTGATTACCTGCTGCATTAATCCTGAAGACTATAAATATTGAAATCAAATGGTTCTTACTAGATGTTTGTCACTTATCTGAATTACTGGCTAACATTGTAAATCAGTTTGGGTCAGTCGCTTCAGTTTTTTCTCCTCGAAAGCCTGTCTAAAAATTCAAAGGGAGGAAATGGCGTTAAACTCAAGTTGCTCTCTATCTGGAACCCAGAAGAATTGTTGTTTAAGGCTGAAGCAGAGTGCTTTAATACTAAAGGACAGCTAGTAGGTTACAGAAAACTGTATTTCTCTGTTTTGGAACTTTTCATCTGTTTTCTTCTTGTTTGGTGAGGGCTGGAACAAACCTTAACTTGTTCTCTTCTGATTATCATTTTCTTGCACCTGAATCTTAGACTCTTAAAAAACAAACTGCTTCATGTAATATGCAAAGCTGGTTATACAAATGTCTTATATCAGCAGTAGGTGAGGCTTCAGATCAAAACTACTGCACTCCAAAACCAGATTTACAATCTTATGTATTTGAGGGAACTCATTCAAGCATATGAAGAACTTGTCAACATGATTCATCAGGAATTTGGCATGCAACTAAACACCTTTGTAGATCTAATTTATTTAAAGAGCTCTGTTTTCAACTACATGGTCTCCACCTCCAGTGGAACAAATGAGTGTTTGTGGCTGTAAGGAGGGAGGGCAGGGTAAAGTTTGGGAGACTTAGTGGAGCGCAGCTCCATTTACACGATTTCAGGCCAAAGAAATGGGCTTTCAGTGCTGAGCAAGAAAGGAAAGAGAAAGAGAAGGGTGTATTCTGGGGAAATGGATGGGGGGGATATCAAACCTCCACCTTCACAGCCTTCCATCACAAACCACTTAACTGATATTGTTTTTAACTGTATCCATATTAAATGACAGGAGCTAATGTGCACTCACCATTTCCAAACAGGTTAGATACCCTCCTGTCCTATTTAGTATATTCAACCCTGTTCTCCCAGACTTTCTGTGTTACCTCAGACCACATGCCTTCATTCTGCTGGATTTCCTTGTCATAATGTTTGGTTGACTGTCGTATTTGACTTTATGTATTGCTGGTACTACTGTAAGTACACTGTTCAGGGCTTGATATTTGTCTGCTGGCAAATCCCCATGAAAGGCCATGAAGTCTAGGCCTTGATGCCTTTGGGGACCACATCATACACTTTCTTCACTTAAATGGACTATGTGTTTAGCACTGGCAGTGGAAATACCTGTGTGCAAGTACCTGGCAGATCACTTCCACAACAGCAGGTGACCTGGTGACAGTGCAGGATTTGGCACTTGGTGTTCCCTCTGACTCTGCTTTGCTGCAAACAAACTCTCTTTTGGAGCCAGCCTGAGCTAGTTTCTTTTTTAAGCACCTCTAACCATTCTTAAATCTTTCAACCATGACTCCCCTCGTGAGGCCAGCATCTTTTACAGTGTTTTACAGGGATGGAATGTATCTGATTTTCTTATAGATTTCACTCTTTTATTTGCTGTTGCTCCTGGCTGCCTCTTAAAGATAAACAGTCCTGTGCACTTGACTTTCCAACCTGACAAACTAATGCTTTTAAAAAGAGATTGGTTATATTTTTGTCCTACAGCTAAACCAATCTGTTGGAAAAAACAGATATTTTGCCATTCCGCAATGGATGCTAGATGTTTCCACATGACCTTTTGGCTAGGAAAAAGCTCTTCACCATAATAAGTGAGAATTTTCAGGACTAGCTAGAGAATCAGTAGTGACATGTCTAAAGTCAGGATTACTGTAGCAGAAATGAGGGGGAAATTTGGGCTTGCTTGCATGGGCAGTGCTCTAGTAAGTCTGGAGTCTAAAGACTGACTCACTAATTCTTGTGGAGCAGTTGAAGAAGTTAGCATCTCTGGTCTGGCAGACAGTATGTCTGTGCCTCAGCTGCTGTGCTGTTCACAGTCAAGAGTGTTAGAGTGAAACCATCTGATTTCAGTGTCATAAACTGGGCTATGAATTGCAACACCAAGCTTACACCGTAAGTACTGCTGCTGAAGTTGACCTCTGGGGTACAATAGGCAGCTCTTAAATTGCCAAAGGAAAAGTGGATAATGCCCTGTTGAGTTCCCCACTTGCCTCAGTACTGTATTTCGAAAAAGCAGACCAGGAATGGCCTCTTACTTTTCTCACTGTGGACAGTATTGCAGTGCAATGGTAGGCACTAAATATATGCATGTGACAACTGGTGCTAACTGTGCACATATGATCAGAAGTCTCTTCTGGTCCTGTAGAACAAATTCATGACTCTGCATTGCATCTGAGCTCTGAACTATGTCCATCGCTTTCTGCGTAGCTGAGAAAAGAGTTTGAAGTTGTCCTGACTAATTGGTCGGTTGCAGCAAGACCTTGATTATTCAGGAGACAATATAGCTCAGGAAAGGAGGAATTTTCAGTCAAGGTGGCAGAAGGCTATCATTCATCAGTCCCACAGTGCCCACATCTACAAGCACCTTTCAGCTCCCTAATTCTGGCTGTCTGAACATGTGAGCAGCAAACCATCTGATCCTCTGGGCTTGAGTTTTGTGTGCAGACAATCAGATACCAGCCAGCCAACAGAAGAGGGAGTAGCGAAGGGGCAGGGACTTGCACTCTGAAAATAAAACACTGTTTTTCTGCTTATTAGCATAGTAAGATTTCTGCTGCTTATTCCTCTTAACTCCACCAATCTCACCTATAAAACCAGGAAGTATTATTCGAAGAAAAGTGAAGGCCATGGCAGTACTCCATAGCAAAGACAGCACTGGAATAACAAGGCTAATCACCTATTTGTTAAAGTCTTACTGTTTATTTTATTACAGGTCAGTGAACAAAAAACAGTCATGAGATGTTAATCTCTCTGTCTAGCTGTTTAATCTGAACCACCCCCTTACCATTGTTCTCTCATGTGCTCAGCAGCAATATCCCCTCCTCCCCTCTTGTAGTGACCTCATTTCAAAGGACAATTTCTCTCTGTTTTGGCTTTCCAAGGGTCAGACTGGTGCTGTTTGAATTGGGAGGAAATTTGCTCAGGTCCTGTCACTGGCCTACTGTTCTATGGAATTTGTTTGCAAGAACAGAAGCCTCTGCTCAGAAGCTGATGGATGCTCTGAGCTCCAGGAAAAAGCAAGTGCTGAATATGACAGGGTAGACCTATCTCAGCAGTGAACACAGACAATAGAGGAGAGGTAGGAACTACTAAATAGGATTGGATAGTGTGTTCCAGCAGTCTCCCTTCATGCAGAGTGAACTAACCAGGCCAAAACAGCTGATGCTGCAGAAATTCTTAAAGAGTTCCTGTGTAATATAGAAGGTGATGTTGCTGTTTACCTCAGGTCCCCCCTGGCCCTCTCACCTGACTCCTTAAGGCCTAGAACTGGGGCTTACATGGCTTGAAAGGAAAGTGTGGGGATGGATGGTACGGCTAAGAAGCCCCATCTATATCAGCACAAAGAGTCACTGGTTAATCTGTAATTTCTAAATGTATCAATCTGTAGTCAGGGCTTTCCCCAGGGACAAATCAGAATTGAAAGGACAGGTGATTTTAACAGGAAATTTGTGATATATTAAAAAAACAAAACACTGTGAACCTGGTAAGCTGAAAGCAAGCTTTGAGTCCATGAGGAAGTCTAAAAGACCCTTTAATCCCTGATTAAATTTAACCATTCCCAGGCTTTCTTGTGTAGTGCTGTCTTTTGGCATCTCCATAAATAGGCTCAGTGACTCAGAGCCAGCAGAAAGGAGAAAAATGTTTTTGCTTCACAAATGTTTATTGGTTTTTCCTTTACCAGATACTTTGTGTTAGAGTACAGGACCATCTCCAAGAGATGGGTTAATGCAGCTGTCCAATATATGACCCTACTTTGGATAACTGTCTATCCCCTGGCTACAAGTATCTGGGAATCTTCATTTTTATATGTAAAGAGCCCTAATGAAGTCTCTCTACCCTGCAATTAATGTTAAACGCACCTCTCAGCAGCAAATACTTCAATCCCACTGAGCCCTGAAATTTCTATGGAATTAGGTAGAAGGAGTCTAATACAAACATTCCATATTGTGTGCTCAAGCTTCGTGACAGAGGAAGAGAGGGATGTGGAAGGAGAACCACATCCAGCTTATATTCCAAGGTGGAGTCAGTACAAGGATGAAAGTTGACAGCCCATCTAGGAAATGGGGAGTGTTCTTCGGCAACACAGCATGGACATAACAGAGGCAAATCATCAGAGACCTACAAATGGGGATTGGAAGACAGACTTCAGTGCCACACTGGCACTGCAGGGAGAGGCTTTTTCTTTAGCTGATCCCTTTGCTGAAATAAGAAAGCAGGATGGTTAGAGGGGAGAGCTGAAGAAATTGTGATCATCCTGAGAGGCACAACCCACACGTCACGTGCAGGGACGCTCATTCCTGCCCAACACTGGATCATGTGTGGGAGTTGCAAAGCACTGTGGAAAAGGGGAAGTATGTATTCCTGCCCCTGAAGTGCTGCATCCTCTCTTTGCCTCTGTAAAAGTAGCATGGTGCATTGAGAATCAGTAGGGATGCACTGGGAAAATGTAAGCTCCCAACACACTGGCAGAGGAGCAGGAGAGAATTGACTAAGGGAAGAGGAGTGAATGTCTTGGATGTAAGATATGATGGGTGGGAAGGAAGGAAGGAATGACTGCTAAGATTTAAAAACAAACAAACAAACAAACCAATCAACCAAAACAGAAGTTGCAAATGTATTACCAAAGCTAAGATAGAAGACATCAGTTAGCTCACCTACAACTAAGTGAGGTATGTGAAGTCTAGGTTTTTTGTTATGTCTTTGCTTCCTTTGCATTCCTCACTTTTGAATCTGTTCCAGGCTTCCTTGGAGAGATTCCTTGTTTTGCTTCTGTAGCTCCCTGCAGGATGCAAATGTTAATAAGCACAAGCACAGCAGGCAGGGCTGAATCCATTGGGAGAGATGGGGACTGCATGGCAGATCAGCTTCCCTCCTGCTGTGTGACATGTGATGCATGTTGAACTCAGGGCTGTGGGGGAGCACCCTTACTCTAATTCATCAAATCCAGCCCTGCTGCTGGAATGTTTTCTTAGCTCTGCTGCTCAGTGGAGCTGCGGCAAACAATAGGCTTTAGCAAATCAAGGTCAAATAGAAAGGCGGAACCTAAATCATGAACATGCTGGGCTAATCTGACATTACTGGGTTCTTTATGGAGTTAGGTTTTTGTTAATTTTTATAACAATAGGTTTGGTTTTTTTAAACCTAAATGTGAATATGTTTTTCAGGGATATTAGCCAGGACAGTGCTTTCCATGTATATATTGAATATTACTGGAATTGACTTTCCAGCTCATGAGTGACACCTCCTGTTAACAGCTTGCAGTCCACTTTAGAATTGACACTATTTTATAAACTAGTGCTGCTATGAAACATCTCATGCTAAAGAGAACTGAGAAGGGCAGACTCGAAAGGCTTTGTGGGCTCCAAGTGGCCTGAAGTGGCACTCTGTGACATCCAGTGATAGTGTTGCAAACACTATTTTACTGCCTTGTGTGAATTCTTCAGACCTACTTTGTCAATGTGTTGCTTTCCTCTGGTCAGTGGGTCTAGTTGCTTGTGGTCCTTTTTAGCTCTTCTCCTTGCTGAACAAGGTCCTTGCTTTTTATGTGCTGTTGCTGTCTGGTACTTGATGCCTTGGGAGAGAGAAAGAGCCTCATATCATCTTGGGCTTACAGAATGCCACCAGGCTGGTTTACAGACCTACTGCATGGGCTCACTTGCAGTCATCTCATGATTGGAGGAAGGGGTTCCAGCTTCAAATTCTCTAATGCTCCTGCAGTTATTCTCATTTTTGCTGCACTTGGAGAAGAAACAGGCAAGTTGTAGGTGGCTCTTGCTGGCCAGTAGCATAACTGACCTTTGCAAAAGTTCTAGTATTAGTCCAAGCTTAAGAACAAACAAGTGATGGATAGACATGAAGGCTGATTCTACTAGAAACATGTAATCATATTTTTTACCTCAACCTGAGCAAAATGCACCTTTTGCAATTGTAATGAACCTCAGGAGCCTGAGCTAGATGCCATTTCTAGGCTACAATGAGAAAACCCCTGTACCTCCCCCCATGCCCCAACAACAGAAGATGCACAGACCGAGGTTTTCACTATCCTTTCCATGTGCAGCTATTGGAGCTCAGCAGGCTGTAACTTGGTGGCTCTGCTAGGCCTGGTGCTGCTCTGTGTTCCCCTGCCCTGGCCTTGTAGGAGTTGGGGTGAAATGTACTCACTTTGCTTCCAGACATACTCTGCAGCTTCAGGGGCAGTCAGCATGGCAAATGGATGCAGGGAGAACCTGAAAGGTTGAATCCAATGGTCCTGAAAAGACAACAACTCATAAATAAGTGTACCTGCAGAAACTATGTGCTAAGACAATGGACATACTCTTCTGGTCAGCAGAAACTAAGGTAACTGCTTCAGCAGTCCTGATGGATAAATGAGCACCATTTATAACCTCCACCCTAAATGTCACTAGGATGTGGCTTAGGCTCCCTAAGTACCTATATATCTTGGTAAGGCTAGTGCTTGATTTCCAAGGAGATTCAAGCCAAGGCTTCAAAAGTGATGAGGGGTAACAGGAATCTCCACCATTTTACTTCAGTAGGAAATACCCACAAAAACTGAATTTTCAGATGGGCTGTATTCCATCTCTTTGAGTCCAGGACTCTTAAGGAAGCATAAGTTGAGCTCCAAGAGTTACTGTTAGTTTAAAACAGTATGTTTAACCTCTTAAATGAATCAAGGCTTTGCAAAATAAAGTATCCTTAGCTTCCCAGCTCAGCAAAGCATTTTTGTTCCTTTCTCATAGGTTGGGAATGATCTTAAGCCCATGAATAAAATGAAGCACTGGTGTTGGCTGAAACAGAAACTGGAAATCCTGATAACAATGGTTTATCTTCCTCTTTAGAAATTTTTTTAACTTTGCTACCTTGTGACCATTAAGGAAGTGTCTCTGAGTCCATGAGGGACAGGATCTAGGCAAGTGCACAGTAACATGAGATGTCTTTCTTTGTCTCTGCTTGCATAACATCAGAATATAAATCAAAGCTAAAAATACCACTAATAACCTCCCCTCCTCTCAAAGAAAAAAACCACCAAAACTCAAGCAAAACTCAAACACCTCACCATGGGAAACAGCATGAGTAGCTGGAAACCTTTCAAGAAAATATCACTCCTCTGCAGTGTATGGTGAGCACTCAAAATAGAGATTTCTAAAAATATCCTGGGTTGGAAGTTCCTAGAGAAAAGTACTCCTGTCCATAAGAAGCAAGACAGTAAAAATATACAGTGTAATATTCACAGCAAAAGGAGAGACAGCTGATCCACCCACTTGTCCCAGGAGCAGAGAAGAAGATCCCTCCTTCTAAATAACATATTGTGAAATGCCCTTACGTGGCATCTAGTGACATATCTAGTGCTTGACATGGAAGAATTAAACTAAGAGAGGTTACAGCCAAGGCTGTTCTGTTGCATGTAACTGTGAGCTGGTGTAGCTCTGCCCTTTCTGGACACCGGGTGGCAGTCTGTCATTAATAGTACAGCTAAGCATGACTGAGGTAAAAAAAAAATAAAGTGCACTGTGAATTACATGTGAATCACCTGTTATAGTCTGACTGCAAGTCCACATCAACTTTTAATGGTTGCTTGGGAAACATCAATAAAGTCTGTATTACTGAAAAGAAAATCTATATATTCCAGTACAAATGCTTTTTCATTATGGACCTGGGTCATATGGAATACTTTCCTGTGACTTGAGTCATAAATTAAAGATTATAATACCTTTCCTGTTTTTTAAAGGGCAATTATATGACTAAAGATATATTGCTAGAGAAAGTTGCTCTGAACACATGCCAGGCTGTATCTCAGAATTGCATAACCTCTTCCTCTACTCCAAACTAGTGGTAATTAGAGCACACTGGTGGGAATGCTCCTCTGTAAAGCATTATCACAAAGGTGCAGGAGCTGTGTTACATCTTAGTGTGGATGTGAGTAACTGGGCTGCACTTTTCTTGCCTCTCCCTGGCACACTGTAAGATAGAGAAGGAGGTGGTGAATAATTCAGCTTTTTGCTCTGTCCTAAGAGAGGGCTGGAGCTTGTTTGCTGTTACTAATGGGGCAAAAGGGGCAAATGACTTCAGTTTAAAATATAGCAATTTTTTTTGAAAGGCACAGATATTATAGGATCACTTCCTTTACAGATGCTGAAAAAACCCCAAATCACTCACATTTGCAGACCTCTGCCAGTGTGTTGCTGAGGGCCTCATGCTGTAAATCTCAAAGATCTCTTCTACAGGAATGCTGTTCTGCGAGCAGTAAAAGGTAAAAAAACAGGTAAAAGAGAGATTCAGCTTTCAGCAGTAGTATTCTTTCAAGTAAAGGAATGAAATCCAGCTCATATCCCCTTCCTTTGATCTCTGAAACAGCTTCCACATGAACTTCTGGTATTGTTTCATACTGCTGGTACAAATCTATTGAGATCTTGTTCTTGTCCTGAAACTTGCTTGCCATTTTGCACTTGGGTGAAACAAGTTAAGTAACATATACACACCTACTGAAACCGACTACTTTGTTTTCTAAGACTGCACAAAACTTAATGGCTACTTGATACAAATGGAATGGAATTGTAATATTTGCACTGTCTGTATACTGTGCTTTTGATGAACAAAGACATTGGGGATACAGAGAGTTTTCTATTCTATTCTATTCTATTCTATTCTATTCTATTCTATTCTATTCTATATGCCATAGAATAAAAGATACTGCCATCTTTCTTGTGCTCTTACCATTAATATTCCAGCGTATGAAGATAATATCATAGCTTCTCTCTCAGTTCGGTTGGGATATGTGTATTTGTTGCAAGCTGCAAAGCTCCTGTATGGTGTTTTGAACAAGAAGATTATTATTCTGGTGTTATAAATGCAAAAAGTAGTCCTGGGGTCGATTCACTGCTGCTTTTACCTCATTTTCACACTGGTGTAACCCACCGCAACAGCAGGACCTCAGCTTTTCAATACTCACATTTTCTCTCTTGTCAGTGCAATCGGAGCATCCAAGTCACTAAGCCACAGTAAAGCAACACTGAGGGCTAAGTTGTAATGGACCTGGAAAGACAGAAGAATCTTATTTGTTTTGTTTGACTGGAATTGCTTGACTGAGGGAAGACAGAAAGACCAGGGTAATGCAGGGAAACCTGAGCTGTGCCCAATATTGCCTCAACTAACTGGGTACCTCACTTGTTGTAAGACACTTGATGAGGTTTCAGAGGTTTAAAATGCATCCAGGAAGACTTTCTGTTTTGTTATGCACCAATAGACTTGGCTTGTGAAGAATAATCTTTGGTTAGTTGACTTAACTTTATCAAATGTCTTCTGTGAATAGCTTTTTCTTGGTAAAAAAATCAACAAAATCTTGAATTATCTTGGATACATTATACCCAGGTGCTATTCACAGCCAGTTTAGGTACTCATTTCAGTAATGGGCTGCTATTTATCATTGTAGGGATAGGTTATTTAGCTGTACCAAATAGCCATCCTTCAGAATTCTCAGGAGCCCCGCAGTTAAAGAGGATAGGACGTAGGAATTCTGGTGATTACCATGTCATCTAGAAAGGTGGGTGGCCTTTGTCCTCTTGGATCAAATTCTTTTTCTCGTAGTCTGATGCCAACATAATCTCCCCTTAAAGCAAGGAAATAACTCTAAATTACAGCTGGTTCTAAGCAAACCAGTGCATAGGAAATGTAATAGAGGACTTTAAAGATACTGCAAGACCAAGGCTAAATTCACTATGATTCAGGGCTAGGAATCTGCTGTAGGATTTCTCACAGATAGTTCCCAAATAGGAAAGCTGTTAGTTTTTTGCATCTCTGCTAATCTTAGCTTCTTTCAAACCACACTACTGTCTTCTCCAAAGGCTCCAAAATAGGAAGAAGAAATATGAAACCATTATTTAAAGTCTGGGGACTCACAGAAGAATTTCACTGTACAGAGAATGAAAGAGATGCTTCACTGGTGCTTGTTCTTCTCGTTCAAAGGAGGCCTGATTCTGCAATCTTTCCTCAGATGAAATACTACAGATCCATGCCAGCATTCCTAGAGAAGATGGGCACAGGAGTTGTGTGGAATAGAGGGGACACTGCTTACATCCCTGAGGAGTTGTCTGCTGGACAATCCTGCATTGAAGAGCATGAGACACTGCAGCATGAACTAGGAGACCCCTTACAGACAGCAGCTGCCCTGGATGCATTGCAAGGGGGGAATTCTGCACCTCTCTGGTTGCTCCACTGAGCAAGTTCTGGGCTGTGATGATTCTATTGTCCCATGTGCAGTCAGGGCTTACACTGCAGACTGCATGCAAGAAATTGTCAAAAGAAGTCTGTTTACACTTTCCAGCAAGAGAAGACTAAGGTTTGAGAGTTGTCATTCACCTAGTCATACAACTCTTTGCAATGAAAACAAGCCAATCTCTAGTGCAGTGAAAGCAGTTGTGGGCAGTTATTACTTACAGAAGATTTTCAATCTTTTTCTTCAGGTGTTTTCTTTCCATATTCTAGTTGTCATTGTAGCATAAGCTGAATGGGATCTAGGAGAGAACCAAGTGTCTCTGCCAGTGAACAAATCTCAAAAACAGATAAAGAGAACGTGACACTTGGGAGACCCCCTACAAAAACCTAGCCAAAATAATTTCCAAGGTAGGATTAAAATAGAAACTGCCAAAAATTTAGTCAAGAAAGAAGACAACATGAACAGTACTGAGAGTGATGGTAAAGAGTTTCGTAATGGGAAATGGGCAGAATGAACCCATTTAGAATAAGCATCAATCTTGAGCATCAGCTTGCAGGCTGCCTGCATCCCCAACGTAGTGATGTATATCTCTCATATAATGCAAGCTATTGACCTGCTGCTGCTTACAGGTTTCTTAGCACAAGGCTTGCTCTCCCCACTGTGTGTCTGTTAACCAGATCTATGTGGTAGAAACAGGGAAGAGGACAGGCTGCAAGATGAACTAACAGCAAAGAGATAAGCCAGCACCTGGCCCACCAATATATTGTAACATGCACGTGGAGCACGTGCTCCACTCCTTTGCTCCATAATATACAAACTCTCTGTTGCTGAATATTGTCCCCCTATTCTACCTCTCATACATGTAAACAAGAAATCATGCACTACCTGTGTCAACTTTTGCAATAGGCCTCAGGATCTGGGTTTGGAGCCTCTCTGACTTCAGGTATTTATGAGGAGGATTTCCCTCTTGATGTTGTTGTTCCTTTCTTGCCTCTGTCTTCCTTTGTGTGCCAGGGAAATTAGGCTATGGCTTCATGCAGGACTGCTGCTTAGAAACAATGTTGCTTAGAAACAATGCTGCTGACCTGAGAGAAACTGAAAGAAAAAAACCCCAAACAACAAACCAAAACCATCACAAAGAAGAGGTTAAACCTGCACCTTCAGCTTGGGTTATCAGTTTCAAGCTGGATGATCCTAATACACTTCTAGGCATTGAGTTACACTGCTGAGTGGCTAGTTGGAAACATAAAAGACTTGCTAACAAGGGAGGCAGAAACTATTCACCAGGTTTTCTAACAGATCTAATTCCTTGTAAAAGAAGATACCAGCTTCTACTGTTTCAGCATTTCACCAAATGGAATGGTGAAAGACTAGACCTGATACCTGCCAAGAGCCCATCTACAGTTCCATTTCCAGCATTTATGGCATATAGCAAGGATGCTGCTACTTGTTCTTTCATCTATGTTATGTTTTTGCTTACAGTATTGAGAGAAATTCTAACAGTCAGAAAATCCCAACATGATGTTCTAAGCCCCACTGTTGTCCTTCCAATGGAGGCAGGGCACATCTTGCACGGGATTGCTGATGGTAGCCAATGTATCATGATGACTAGGAAGTCAGTGAGAAGCTATTGGATTTTGTAGATTAGGAAAGTTTGCAGGCTGTAACTCTGAATGGAATGAGCTATCCCTCTTCTTGGAAATGTAATTTTTCTGTTATTAACTGACTTCCTAGTAAAAAATAGGAATGATTTTATGAGAATGATCATAATGTTGCCCCTCTTTGTGAAGGCCCAAGAAAACATAAAAGGAAATGTATTATCATGAGACATAGATGTTTTCCAGGAAGATGTCTACTTGGTATTTGTAGAATTTGTGTTATGCTTTCTATTCGTTATTTCATTTTCCATTCTCATTTATTCTATGGCAAAAGGAGCACCAAGCTTAGCACTTCCCACCTTTCATTCCAAGCTAGATTTGATTTCTGAGGGCATTGACCTGGCAGGCATCATGGCAATCGTGTCTCCAGTAGACCTGCTGCTTCTTGCTCTGAGAAACACAGATCTACTTCTTGCCAGGTGTAACCTTCCACCAGTTACACTTACACAGGGCTTATCTGCTGGTGTGGCCAGATGAGAGGGAAAAGTGACCTTCACAAAATAAACATAGTCATGCCAGGGCTGACCCCAAGTCCTACTAACCCAGCCCCTCTCCTGTTATGTAGCGAGGGTGATACCCTGATGAAGAAAGGGACTTTCCTGAAATGAGTCTGGTCCCTAGCCCTCAGATGAACTGACTCCTGCCATTTTCCCAAATGCAAGAAATGCTTCTGCATCATTGCAAGGCAGGGGAAGCCACTGTGTTTGTCCTCTTCCCAGGTAAAGATAAAATAGCAGCCACTAGTGGATGCCTGGGGAAGAGATGGAGGAAATGTGCTGGCAGGCATCAAACTTTCTCAGTGTATTTCTCTGTTCTCCAGTTCAGGACCTTCTTCAGCAAAAAGTGTTGCATTGGTTGTCAATAGCCCTTGCTTGTTTTTAACTTTCACAAACTTGTCCAATCGCTTTTTGAGTAAGTAAAATTGAAATTTTGAGTAATTGACATCTGCAATGTTTCCTGGCAAAGATTTCCACTATTTAAATAGAGAGTCTCTGGTTTCAAAATACCAACTGTTAATTTAATTTGCTGACCAGTGTGCTTAATAAACCTAGTAAAGTAACTTAATAAATTTAGTAAAGCAAGTTTAGACCCCTCAACTGTAGAATTTGTCACACATGCAGCATAGAATATGTCTTAGAGGACACTTATGTCTTTTTCCCAGACCACAGCATATTTAACAGCAGTGTATTTCCCTGGAGCAAGAAATAAAGCTACAGGCATCTGTGTGTCCCTGCAGAATTGTAACCCACTGCAGGTCTGATTTCAGGGCAGGTATAGAGGGTGTTTGGTCAATCTGCTACTTAATTAAGTTGCAGCGAATAAATTTATTTAATAATTGGCATTATTTAATGCTTATCAGCTAATGTATTAACAAATATCACATAAAATAGTAGGATTCAGGACTCTTGCAAAGGGCTACCATTCACATGCCTGTGGCAGCAGGTGTGATGTCCAGGTGTTAGAAAGATAAATTACTTGTTGGTAGAATTGCCTTGCTAAGGTTTAGGCCTTGACATGCTTCAATGATCTCAGCTCCAGCGGGACATTAAAAAAGTTTGGAGAGAAGGATGTACTACTGATAGTGGACACAAAGAATGCAGAATTTATGAGCCACAAAGACATTTGGCAGAACTCCCAAGATAAGGAAGAACCTAACAAAGCCAATTCATCAACTGTGCTGAAATCAGCCCCAACTAGGTAAAAGATAATTCTGGCAGGGGCACATTGTGACCGTTGACTCATGAAACCCACCAATTCAAAAGAAGAGTATATGGACTAATTAGCATAAGAAGTGAGGGAATCATTTAACTAATGAAAGATAGAATACTGATGAATAAGAGAACTAGGGAACTTGTAGCCAATGAACATTAATGCCTTTGTTTACTAAAACGTATAAATAGTGAAAAGTTTTGATAGTCATAGTGCTGGCTTTGTGGATTTGACCCCCAGCATTCCTTTCTGCGCAGAAATGTAAATAAATCAAATACCTTGACTCTATGTGGGGACCAGCCAATAGCACACGGGTTAAAGGAACCCGTTTGGGGACAATAGGTAGACACGTTTTCATCGGCCTTATTCTCTTGGCACCTCTGCTATAAATTGCATCTCCACTCTAAATCATTGTTTTTCAAATTATTTGGCTGCTTTTTCCTTATGTGTCATTTCCTTAAAATATTTAACGGCATCACACCAGCATATATAATGTCAGCTTCTTGAGGGCAAATTCAAGGGTGTCTGCAAAACAGTGCATTAACTTGGGCTGAAGTGAAAACTACATAAGAAAAAAAATCATTTTAATAGACAGTAAAACATGACTGTCAGGTGAAAGCTGCAAGCCAAGCTCTCTGCACGAACCAACCCTCATTTTTGGGTGAAATTGGCCCTTCAGAACAACCCCCGGGCTTTTCTGAGGCATTCCAGGAGCGGTGTAGCTCCGTGGGGACGGGGCAGGTGGCGGTAGCAGCGCCTCAAAGTTCGGGGCTTCCAGCCCGAAGGGCAGCGGGGCCGCGGCGGCCGGGAAGGCGCGTTTCGGGGTCCGCCTTCGCCGTGAGGGCGAACAGGGCACCCTCGGCCGGCCAAGGACGCCCCTCCCGCCGCCACCTCGCGGGGCGGGGCGAGGGGCGGGCTGCCCGCCGGCCCGCTCGCTTTCAAAAGTCGCTTGGCGGGCAGGGCTTCCTCTTCCTTTTTGCGCCCTCCTCTCCGGCCCCGTCCGCGGCGGGAGGCAGCCGCCCCGTCCGCAGGTGAGCCGGGGATCCGTGCGGGGGGCGGCGGGGCTGTGCCCAGAGCTACTCGGGCCATGAGGGGCCGCGGGGCCGCTGCTCGGGGGTAGTACGAGTCTTGGCCGCCAAGGACTTGCTGGCGGGGAATACGGGTGCTAACCCTGCTCGGTGTCACTCTCTACAGCGATGGCATCTTTGAAGGCCGCCGACACGTCCTTCTTCAGCCTGAGCGGCGTAAGAGAGAGGATGCGGGAGAAGAAAAAGGGTGCCTTGAGGACTGCGAAGTTGAATGCCTCGCTTGTATCCAAAATCAAAACGAAAATCATTAGTGAGTGTATTTTGCGTTGCAGCGCGTGCAGGGGCTGGCAGCTACATCAGCTTGGAACTGTGCCTTTGGCCGTGGCGGTAGGCGGCAGTCTTGGCAGCTTCTCTGCCCGAGGGGTTTCTAGTGAATTCAATGCCCTGCAAATGAGTGTTAAGTGTCACTCAAGGTGTCCAAGGGTGTCTGAAGTATCTGTGACTGGCAGGTTTAACACAGAACCTCTGGAACAGCACCTTGGGGCGTCAAAGGCTGCTCAGCAGCATCTCAGATGATATCAGACATCTGTGTTTGGGAAACTGAGTCCTCAGGGTCCAAATAGCAAAAACAAGAGGTGTGGAAACTATTTTAGTGTATATGCACTCCTGTGCAGAAGCTAGCCCAACTGTGACGTGTTTTTATGGGCGAAATAATGCAAAGATAGCACATGAGATAATCTGGACTACCTTGAAAAAATTAGATATTTCTATTAGATATTTTGAAATTGGGAAACATGGCTCTAAATCTGCTCAAGGACAACTAGAGGAAAATAGGTTTTTCTCCCACTTTTTGGATAGAGATGAGGACTCAGGTGGCATATTCAAAGCCAGAAGCATATCTTTTCAAACTCAGCACCTGAACCGTGCTATCATGCATTAAGAATTCAAGCAGTAGCTTGCTACCTGAGCATGACCAACTGAGGATGAAGAGGGTGTCTGAAGTGTTGCAGGTAATGGAAATTTTGTTCCTGCTCTTCTCTGGAGACTTCTGTTGCTGGAAGGAATTATACTGCTGGTTTTGTGTGTGGGCTGTTGAGTTGTAGAGATCCGAATCTAAGGAAAGCTATTCTGGAAAGAGGAAGAAGAAGTATGATGAGGGAAGAGGCATGGATGAAACCTTGGATGCTGATTCTGTGTGATATCTCTTCTACTATTAAAGTCTCCCTGAAGCACAACAATAAAGCATTGGCTCTGGCCCTCAATGCAGAGAAAGCCAATGCACAGCGGCTCACCCGGGAGAAGGCCATCTTACAGAAGGAGGTGGAGCAGTGCCACTTCCAGAATGCTGTGCTGCGGCACAGGCTCTCCTTCCAGGTGTGGCACTAGCAACGTGGCTGGCATGGGGAGGTGTGGTAGGCAAGGCATGCAGCACTAGCATCTCAGCCTTGGGAGGAGTGACCTGTTGCTGATTGTCCAAATTCTCAGCATATGAAAAAGGTCACCATTCATTTGCCTTTTTTTTTTTTTTTTTTTGCAAGCTGTGTTCTCCCCAGTTCCTTGCTCTAGCTACAAGTATCCTTGTTGGAATAGATGTTTTAATTTAATGTCTTTATGGTTTCTCTCTCTTTTATTACCTCAACAGAATCATATCTTGAAAGAATTTGAAAATCTTCTGGCTGCAGTTAAGACGGCCCGGCTGTCTGAGGTAAACCATGGGAAACATGGGCACACTACTCTGGGAAGGGGCCTTTGTTTGTCTTTTGCTTTGTGTTGCCTGCTCACTGCAGTGTTGGATGCTTAAGCTGTTTTTATTTGCTTGCTTGAATTATGCTGGCTGCATCCTTGTTTTTAGCTTGATGTTAAGGATTTCTGCAGTAATTTATTCTGTTGGAAGGGCTACAGTTTTAAACTGCTTTCCTCTAGGTCGTTGGCTGTATTGGCCAGTAGGCTCTTCTGCTCTGACAAGTTATGACTTCTTTTCAATTTATTTTTTAAAGTTTTGCCATGGCAACTTGGGATAGGGAATAGGACATTTTCCTCTCTCATGGGTGGATGGGGAAAATATTCCTGCTTCCTAGTCTCATATTATCTGAACTAGTTTAACTTCATCCTTAATCTTGTGGAGACAGAATCTAGTTATTTCATAATTTTTTATTTCATAATTTATGCAATTTTAAATGGGAGTGGGTCACTGGCAGCATTTTACATTCTTTCCAGAGTGAAACTGAGCTTCTGCTGTTTCTGTGCATGAGGCTGCACTAAGGATTGTAACAACTTTAACCCATTCTTCTATTTCTCTTCTTTCCAGTTTCATACAAATTCTGCATCCTTGTCCAGTGGCCAGAAGAGCAGCATGACTGAAGATTGCTGGGCTGATGATATTGCAGATGGTCATCTTCTGAGGTGGGCCTTAAAATGATATCAGCAAGCTTGTCCTGAATTTCTAGATGCTAAACTTCTTGTGTTTTATGTGTGTGCCCAGTTGCCAGTTTTATGTGAGATATCTTCTCTGAACCTCCACTGCTTGATGTTTTCATTTACTCTGTGTCTTTCTGCTGCCACTCCTTGTCTTGTTTGTCCTAATGCCAAGTCTGTGCAAAAGGTGGTCCTTCTGCCTTTTTTATTTGAGAGTGCATTACTTTTGGGTAGTTTTCCCCCTGTAGCTGGTGAGCACTGCAAGATTTCCTTGAAAGAGTGAATGCCATAGCTGGCCACTTTGTTTGTTACATATATATGCTTAATAGTCACCTGCTTGTATGATGTAAACTTGTATTCTGGAAAAATGATCAGAGCAGGGTCTCTTAAAATGTATCTGAAGTTCTGTTTCTCCTCTGTTTAGTCTCCCTTCAGAGCACAGGGGAGTCCTTGGAGTTGCCCACACGTGTAACACCAGGCAGCTGTGTTGGTGTTCCACAGCAAGGTGAATGTGTGGTCACAACCTGTGTGCTGAAAGGCCTTTACTTCCTTGTTCCCTCAGTGTATTTTTCTCCTAATTCTGTGTCCACAGCAGCATGATCTCCTTATGTGTTGTGCTTGCCCAAAAGTGGGAAATCTGTCCTGCTTGGGCAGCACTTGAAGACTTGAGAAATATATTTTGTCAACTGATGGAGGTGAAAGCTGTAGTTACTCTGCTGGATTCTGGGGCTGTCTTATACATGGAACATGCTCCATTGCTGTTATTCCTTCTCACCAGGGTTACAGGGATACCAATGAGGGTGCCCATTTCCAAGCTGTGTGATGCAGGACAGCAAGGTGGCAGCTCCACAGCAGTACAAACATCCTCAGGAGAACTTCAGAGACCTGCTTCTAATGAGCCCCTGAAAATCGTGCCTGTTGCCTCCAAAGACACTTTGCCACCACAGCATGCTGAGGAACCTCAATCCCACCAGGAAGAGAATGGGAAGAAGTTCACTGAAACAAAGGAAACGCAGGAGGCTTTTCATGACTCTTGCATCTTTGGAGGTAAATTTGCATCTTTTGCTGTTCTTCTGGTATGACTTTGTGTATCTGTGCTCAGAAATGGATGAGTGCAGTGCCAGAGTTCCAGTTAGCTCCTAACCATGACTCCAATAGCTGGTAGGAACTGCATGCTTCCCGGTGCTGTTATTGCTGTAGTTACTCGTATCCCAGAATGGAATGTGTTGCTGTGGATATTTGGCATGTTTGCAATAGTTCAAGATTGCAAATCAGGCTTTTTGAGCAATAAGCACTGAGCTTACATAAGATTTTCAGAAATGTCTGAAGGTGCAGAATCTGACTAGATGCACAACTTTTCCTTGTGGATTTGCCATATAATTAATAACTCTTATATGGATCATGAGTGTTCCTAAATATTATTGCAGATTACGAGATTTTGCTTTGGAATGTCTTTTTGTTCAGAGGGGGAGCCAGATGAGCAATTCTGTTACACAGAAAGTTTGGAGAGTCTCTGTAGAGACAAAATCATGTTTTTCTATGCTCTGGATTTGTGGCAGTGTGTGGGGCAAGGCTTTTCGTGGTATTGGGAGAGCTGGCATTTGCCTGCCGCATTTCTCCATCTTAGGAATGAATTTTGTCTTTCCAACAGAGGTGTTGTGCACTACCGACCAAAATCCCAACAGTTTCCCAGCGCTTGCCTGGGAAGGTCATCGTCTTTCGTATGAGGCTGATGAGATGGCAAAATATTTCCTTGATCGTCTCTCACAAGGGCATGTTACTCAGAGGAGAAAGCGTTCCACCCTGTTTGCTACAAGCACTCCATCTTCTGGTGTGGGTATCTTCCCGCGTGTCAGTTCCACTCAGGCTGCTTTGTGTAGTATCACAAAGGACAGCAGCAGCTCCAGCAACAACAACACACAGCAACAGCTGAAATCACCCAGCTCCCTGGCTTCACCTACGCAAACCAGTGTTATTTCTGATAGAAAATCTGTGGGTAAAGAGACTTTCTGTGATCAGCCACAGGCTAAAGAAACTGAGTGTGGTGTTGAAACGGACTCAACCTATAGCCAAGTCCCTGAGTTTGTTCCTATAAAGGTTAAAAGCAAAGGTAGTTGTAAAACTGGTGAGAAAATGACTGTTAAAAGAGCAAGCACAGGAAAAAAGAAAACAAACGCAACTAAAAACAGTGCAGAAAGTAGTCCTGATATATCTCAAAGTGAAGAGCGTGCTCAAAATGCAGAGAAACTTCTTCAGCCCGAAGTTGCAACATGCTCTACTGAGTCTGAAGTTTGTGAGGTGGGGCAAAAGGCCTATGTGGGGGCTT